ATTAACAATAATTTAATTGTAATTATGTGTGAATTCATTCGATTTAAATTAAGTAATGGTTCTATTCATGGTATAAGTTTGAATAATTTAAGAAAACATCCAAATAGTTATTTAACAAAATTAGTTGAAAAGGAAAGAAAACATTCATCTCGGACGTCCTAAATCTGAACAGAAAAAATTTCACAAAAAACGAGGGAAGAAGCGTAGTGCTTATTTATGCAGACATTTGACCAAATAGTGAAAGTGTTTTTAATTTAATTTTTCTTCAAAGTGCATATATATACTTTGAAATGTTGTTTGAACTGTTGTTCTTCGTTGACCGTCGAAGTTCTTTTATACGACTTGAAAAAATTTGGAAAATTTTGGTTACAAAATAGACTAAAATGAACAAATATGGATTTCAGGATTCAAAATAAATTTTTTAAAATGCTTAGACATTAGACATTGATCTTTGATTCTAAAAGTTAATCATACAGGTTAACTATAACATGTAAGTCGCTGTGATGAACATCGTCTTTTGGACGCAGGAATAGCATAAGAAGTATCACTGGGCAAGAAACGATAAAAAAATCGAAAAATGATCAGCTTTTATTATAACATCCTTTCTGAATGATTTCAAATATTACAGACAGGAACAACTTTTATTATTGACGAAGATCCATTAATATTTGAAGCAATATTACATTTTTATCGCTATGATCGCTGGCTATTTCCAGAAAACTTTGCTAAAAATATTGAGCAATCAATTCTTCATGAATATGATTTAACAGAACAATTATGTAAAAAATCACAAGCTCCACATGTTCCATCTTATGTTATATTAAAAAGATTACCGTTATCTGATAAACCGGGTAGTCTCTCATATACAATAGTAGAACCGGATGTGAATGCTATTTCTAAATTATTTAAGTCTTCACATTTAAGGGGCAAGAATGATCAAATATTAAAACTTAATTATGTTAGTGTTATTAACATTTTATGTGAAAATGGTTATGTTATAGAAACATGGAATGAAGAAAAACAATATGTAATATTAAAAAGATGAATTAAAAAGTGAAACGAAAAATGCTTTGCAACTGCATACAACTGCATTAAACAATGCACTTTTTTTACATAAAAAACAAACCTGTTAAGTATTTCAAATCAATGAATATAAATAATCTGCGTTTTAACACAAAATAGTCTTCTTCGGATGCAAATATACTTTTCACACAAATCGTTTGGATAAAACAGTAGGTCAAAAGCATTGCTGCTGATCTGAGGCTTTTTTTTGATGACGAGGGTGATTTTTCTGAAGAAT